TCCATGTGGGCCTGGGGTCCCCCATGTGGGTCTGGGGTCCCCCAGAGGTTTTTTGAACCCCCCTAGGTGGGTCTGGGGTCCCCCTTGCTACTTTGGGTGGGTCTGGGGTCCCCCTTTGTGGCTCTGGGGTCCCCCCCGTGTTTTGGGGACCCCCCAAATGGGTCTGGGGGTCACCCACGTGGGTCTGGGGTCTCCCCAAGTGGGTCTGGGGTCCCCCTGTGTGGGTCTGGGGTCCCCCCAAGTGGCTCTGGGTTCCCCCCGGGTTTTGGGGACCCCCTTTTGTGGGTCTGGGGTCCCCCCTGGGTTTTGGGGACCCCCCAAGTGGCTCTGGGGTCTTCCCATGTGGCTGTGGGGTCCCCCCGGGTTTTGGGGACCCCTTTTTGTGGGTCTGGGGTCCCCCGCAAGTGGGTCTGGGGTCCCCCTGTGTGAATCTGGGGTCCCCCATGGGGTCTGGGGTCCCCCAAGTGGCTCTGGGGTCCCCCCAAGTGGGTCTTGGGTCCCCCCTGGGTTTTGGGGACCCCTTTTTGTGGCTGTGGGGTCTCCCCCGGGTTTTGGGGACCCCCTAAATGGGTCTGGGGTCTTCCCATGTGGCTCTGCAGTCTCCCTGGGTTTTGGGGACCCCTTTTTGTGGGTCTGGGGTCCCCCCGCGTTTTGGGGTCCCCCCAAGTGGCTCTGGGGTCCCCCCGGGTTTTGGGGTCCCTCCCAAGTGGCTCTGGGGTCCCCCCAAGTGGGTCTGGGGTCTTCCCGTGTGGCTCTGCAGTCTCCCCGGGTTTTGGGGACCCCTTTTTGTGGGTCTGGGGTCCCCCCAAGTGGCTCTGGGGTCCCCCCCAAGTGGGTCTGGGGTCCCCCAGAGGTTTTTTGAACCCCCCTTTGTGGCTCTGGGGTCCCCCCCTGGGGTTTTGGGGTCCCCCCCAAGTGGCTCTGGGGTCCCCCCAAGTGGCTGTGGGGTCCCCCCGGGTTTTGGGGACCCCCTGACCCCCCATTTCCCCCCCTCAGCTTCGTCAGCGCCAGCGAGCGGCTGCGGGAGCCCGAGGGGGGGGCGCGGGGGGAGCCCCCCGAGCGGGGGGAGCGGCGCCTGGACTGGGACCCCGACCCCGAGGCCGAGGAGCGGCGGGAGCGCGACGGGACCTTCCGGAGTACGAGGGGTTAAAATGGGGGGGTGGGGGTCCCCAAAAATCCCCCAGAGCGCGACGGGACCTTCCGGAGTACGAGGGGTTAAAAATGGGGGTGGGGGTCCCCAAAAACCCCCAGAGCGCGACGGGACCTTCCGGAGTACGAGGGGTTAAAATGGGGGGTGAGGGGTCCCCAAAAACCCCCCAGAGCCTGACGGGGCTTTCCGGAGTACGAGGGGTTAAAAATGGGTCCCCAAAAACCCCCTGGAGCCCCACAGGACCTTCCGGAGTACGAGGGGTTAAAATGGGGGGTGGGGGGTCCTGAAATGGGGTTTGTCCCCAATTCCTGTCCCATTTTGGGGTGTCGTCCCCAATTCTCTGTTTCTGTCCCCAATTCTCCGTTTCTGTCCCCATTCCAGTGTCCCGGTCCCCATTTTGGGATTTCTGTCCCCATTTCGGTGTCCCTGTCCCCAATCCCTGATTCCTGTCCCCATTTCGGTGTTTCTGTCCCCATTTTCGGGATTTCTGTCCCCATTCCGGTGTCCCTGTCCCCATATTGGTGTCCCTGTCCCCAATCCCTGATTTCTGTCCCCATTTTGGAATTTCTGTCCCCATTTTGGGGTTTCTGTCCCCATATCGGTGTCCCTGTCCCCATTCTGGTCTCCCTGTCCCCAATTCCCGGTTTCTATCCCCAATTCCTGGTTTTTGTCCCCAATCCCTGATTTCTGTCCCCATTTCGGTGTTTCTGTCCCCATTTTGGGATTTCTGTCCCCAATCCCTGATTTCTGTCCCCAATTCGGTATTTCTGTCCCCATTTTGGTGTCCCTGTCCCCAATTCCTGGTTTCTGTCCCCATTTTGGGATGTCTGTCCCCATTTCGGTGTTTCTGTCCCCAATCCCTGTTGTCTGTCCCCATTTTGGTGTTTCTATCCTCAATTCCCCGTTTCTGTCCCCATTTTGGGATTTCTGTCCCCAATTTGGGGTGTCTGTCCCTGTCCCCCCCCCCAGGGTCGGACTCGTTCCCGGAGCGCCGCCCCCCGCGCAAGGGGAACACTCTGTACGTTCACGGGGCCGATCTGAGCCCGGAGCTGCTGCGCGGAGCCTTCGGCCCCTTCGGCGCCATCATCGACCTGTCCCTGGACACGCCCCGAAAGTGGGTGGGGCCTAAAGGGGCGGGGTCACAATGACATCATCAACCTGTCCCTGGACACGCCCTGGAAGTGGGTGGGGCCTAAAGGGGCGGGGCCATGGGTGTGACATCATCGACCTGTCCCTGGACACGCCCCACAAGTGGGTGGGGCTTAAAGGGGCGGGGTCACAGTGACATCATCGACCTGTCCCTGGACACGCCCCGAAAGTGGGTGGGGCCTAAAGGGGCGGGGCTTAAAGGGGCGGGGTCACAGTGACATCATCGACCTGTCCCTGGACACGCCCCGAAAGTGGGTGGGGCCTAAAGGGGCGGGGTCAGGGGTGTGACGTCATCAGCCTCGCCCTGGACACGCCCCGGAAGTGGTTGTGGGCGGGGCTATTGGCGGGGGCGGGGCTGAATGAGGGTGTGGCCCTTAGTGGGAGGAGCCAAAGGTGGGTGGGGACGCATTGTGGGCGGAGCTAAACGGGGCGGGGCTGTGCCATGGGCGGAGCTCAGTGTGGGTGTGGTCAATGTGGGCGTGGCCCGTCCCGCCCCACCCCCTGTTTGTCCCCTCAGCTGCGCCTTCGTCACCTTCGAGAAGATGGAGTCGGCCGACCAGGCCATGGCCGAGGTGGGGCGGGGGTTTGGGGGGTTTTGGGGGGTTTGGGGCGGGATTTTGGGGCGTTTGGGGCGGGATTTTGGGGGATTTGGGGTGTTTGGGGCGGGATTTTGGGGCATTTTGGGGTGTTTGGGGCGGGACTTTGAGGGGTTTGGGGTGTTTGGGGTGGGATTTCGGGGGGATTAGGGTTGGGTTTGGGTGTGATTTGGCTGTTCTGGGTACAATTTCTGCCATTTCGGGTACAATTAATGCCGTTTTGGGTACAATTAATGCCATTTTGGATACAATTTCTGCCATTTTGGGTACAATTTGTGCCGTTTTGGGTACAATTTGTGCCATTTTGGGTACAATTGGTGCCATTTTGGGTACAATTTGTGCCATTTCGGGTACAATTTCTGCCATTTCGGGTACAATTAATGCCATTTCGGGTACAATTTTTGCCATTTCGGGTACAATTTGTGTCATTTTGGGTACAATTTCTGCCATTTCGGGTACAATCTGTGCCATTTTGGGTACAATTTCTGCCATTTTGGGTACAATTTGTGCCATTTCGGGTACAATCTGTGCCATTTTGTGTACAATTAATGCCATTTTGGGTACGATTTCTGCCATTTCGGGTACAATTAATGCCATTTCGGGTACAATTTCTGCCATTTCGGGTACAATTAATGCCGTTTCGGGTACAACCTGTGCAGTTTTGGGTACAATTTGTGCCATTTTGTGTACAATTAATGCCATTTTGGGTACGATTTCTGCCATTTCGGGTACAATTTGTGCCATTTTGGGTACAATTTCTGCCGTTTTGGGTACAATTAATGCCATTTCGGGTACAATCTGTACCGTTTTGGGTACAATTTCTGCCATTTTGGGGGTCCCTGCCCCTGACCCCCCCGTGCCCCCCAGCTGAACGGGGCGGTGGTTCAGGACGTGCAGCTCAAGGTCAGCATCGCCCGCAAACAGCCGCTGCTGGACGCGGCCACCGGCAAATCGCTCTGGGGGTCCCTGGGTGAGTCTGGGGGATCCTGGGGGGGTCTGGGGGGGATTTGGGGGGGGTCTGGGGGGATCTGGGGGGGATTTGGGGGGTCCTGGGGGGTCCTGGGGGGCATTTGGGGAGGATCTGGGGGTCCCTGGGTGACCCTGGGGGGGAATTAGGGGGTCCTGGGTGGGATCTGGGGGTCCTTGGGGGGGATTTGGGGGGTCCTGGGGTTCCTAGGGGAGATCTGGGGGGGATTTGGGGGTCCCTGGGTGAGTCTGGGGGCGGTTTGGGGTGTCCTGGGGGGGATCTAGGGGGTCCTGGGGGTCCTTGGGTGAGCTTGGGGGCGATCTGGGGGGGTCCTGGGGGTCCTTGGGGGGGATCTGGGGGAGGCTGGATGAGTCTGGGGGGGATCTGGGGTGGGATTTGGGGGGTCCTGGGGGTCCCTGGGGGGGGGTTGGGGGTCCCTGGGTGATCCTGGGGTGATCTGGGGGGTCCTTGGGGGGGGATCTGGGGGACCCAGGGTAAGTCTGGGGGGGATTTGGGGGGTCCTGAGGGTCCTTGGGGGGGATCTGGGGGTCCCTGGGTGAGCCTGGGGGGGGGATCTGGGGGGTCCTGGGGGGGATCTGGGGAGGCCTTGGTGAGCCTGGGGGGATATGGGGGTCCCTGGGGGACGGTCTGGGGGCGGTTTGGGGGGTCCTGGGGGTCCCTGTGTGAGCCTGGGGGGGATTTGGGGGGTGCTGGGGGTCCTTTGGGGGGGGATCTGGGGGTCCCTGGGTGAGCCTGGGGGGGGATCTGGGGGGTCCCTGGGGGTCCTTGGGGGGGATCTGGGGGGGTTTTGGTGGTCCCTGGGTGATCCTGGGGTGATCTGGGGGGTCCTGGGGGGGATCTGGGGGTCCCTGGGTGAGCCGGGGGGGGATTTGGGGGGTCCTGGTGGTCCCTGGCTGATCTGGGGGTGATCTGGGGGGGTCTGGGGGGGGATCTGGGGGTCCTTGGTGGGGATCTGGGGTGGTTGTGGGTGAGCCTGGGGTGATCTGGGGGGTCTGGGAGGGATCTCGGGGGGCTGAGGGGGCATCTGGGGGTCCCTGGGTGACTCTGGGGTCCCAAGGGTGTCCCAAGGGGGGTCCCGGGGGTCTCCCCGCGCCCCCTGACCCCCCCCCGTGCCGCAGCGGTGAAGAACAGCGCCAAAGGCTCCCACCGGGACAAACGGTCACAGGTGGTCTACAACGAGGACCTGTTCGGGGGACACTGAGGGGACACACCTGGGCACACCTGGGGACACCTGGGGACACCTGGGACACACCTGGGGACAGCTGGGGACAGCTGGGACACACCTGGGGACACCTGGGGACACACCTGGGGACACACCTGGGGACAGCTGGGACACCTGGGGACACCTGGGGACACCTGGGACACCTGGGACACACCTGGGGGCACCTGGGGACAGCTGGGGACACATGGGGACACATGGGGACACCTGGGACACATGGGACACACCTGGGGACACCTGGGGACAGGACAGGACACACCTCGGGGGACGGGGACACCTGTGGTGGTTTCTGGGCGGGACAAATAAAGGTTTGCTGTCACCTGCGTGAGAAAAACACCTTTATTGTCACCTGGGGGGGACGGGGACACACCTGAGGGGGATGGGGACACCTTTATTGTCACCTGGCGGGGACACGGGGACACCTTCATTGTCACCTGTGTGAGAAGAACACCTTTATTGTCACCTGGGGGGGACAGGGACACACCTGAGGGGGATGGGGACACCTTTATTGTCACATGGGGGACATGGGGACACCTTTATTGTCACCTGGGGGGGACATGGGGACACACCTGGGGGGGACAGGGACAGCCAGGCCATGCCAGGTGCCACCAGGTGCATCCAGGTGTGTTCCAGGTAGCTCCAGATGTGCCCAGGTACCCTCAGGACAGGAACCCCAGGTGTGCCCAGGTGCCCCCAGGTGTGCCCAGGTGTGCTCCCAGGTGTGCCCAGGTGCCCCCAGGTGTATCCCAGGTGTGCCCAGGTGCCCCCAGGTCCCCCAGGTGTGCTCAGGTACCTTCAGGGCAGGAAGCCCAGCTGTGCCCAGGTGTGCCCAGGTGCCCCCAGGTACCCTCAGGGCAGGAAGCCCAGCTGTGCCCAGCTGTGCCCAGGTGTGCCCAGGTGCCCCAGGTGTGCCCAGGTGCCCCCAGGTGTGCCCAGGTGTGCCCAGGTACCCTCAGGACAGGAAGCCCAGGTGCCCCAGCTGTGCCCAGGTGTATCTCAGGTGTGCCCAGGTGCCCCAGGTACCCTCAGGACAGGAACCCCAGGTGCCCCAGGTGTGCCCAGGTACCCCCAGGTACCCTCAGGGCAGGAACCCCAGGTGCCCCAGGTGTGCCCAGGTACCCCCAGGTACCCTCAGGGCAGGAACCCCAGGTGTCCCAGGTGTGCCCAGGTGCCCCCAGGTGTATCCCAGGTGTGCCCAGGTGTGCCCAGGTGTATCCCAGGTGTGCCCAGGTGCCCCAGCTGTGCCCAGGTGTGTGCCCAGGTGCCCCAGGTACCCTCAGGACAGGAACCCCAGGTGTGCCCAGGTGCCCCCAGGTGTGCCCAGGTGCCCAGGTACCCTCAGGACAGGAAGCCCAGCTGTGCCCAGGTGTGCCCAGGTGCCCCCAGGTGCCCAGGTGCCCCCAGGTACCCTCAGGGCAGGAAGCCCAGCTCCTCATCGCGCAGCCGCTCCCTCAGCCAGGGCAGCACCTCGAAGACGCTCAGGTGGAAGTCGCGGGCGTGGGCGGGGCTGCGGCGCTGGCGGCAGGCGGGGACCACGCCCCAGGAGACCACGCCCACCTGGGGAGAGACACGCCCACCTGGGGTCACCTGGGGTCAGGGACCACGCCCCAGGAGACCACGCCCACCCTGGGGTCACCTGGGGGTCACGGACCACGCCCCACCTGGCCACGCCCACCCTGGGGTCACCTAGGGGTCACCTGGGGGTCAGGGACCACGCCCCAGGAGACCACGCCCACCTGGGGGGAGACACGCCCACCCGGGGTCACCTGGGGTCACCTGGGGTCACCTGGGGTCACCTGGGGTCAGGGACCACGCCCCAGGAGACCACGCCCACCTGTGGGACAGGGACACGCCCACCCGGGGTCACCTGGGGGTCACCTGGGGTCAGGGACCACACCCCACCTGGCCACGCCCACCTGGGACAGAGCCACGCCCACCCCGGGGTCACCCAGGGGTCACCCGCACACCTGGGATCACCAGTTTGTCCCAGTCCCATCCCAGTTCCATCCCAGTGTTCCCAGTTCCATCCCAGTTCCATCCCAGTTTGTCCCAGTTCCTCCCAGTTCCCCCCAGTTCCCCACTCACCTGGAAGTGTCGCTGTCCCCAGGTGACGACAACGGGGCCACCGGAGTCACCTGTGGGGAAACTGGGATGGACTGGGAGGAACTGGGACAAACTGGGACAAACTGGGATGGACTGGGAGGAACTGGGACAAACTGGGATGGACTGGGGGGCACTGGGACAAACTGGGATGGACTGGGACAAACTGGGACGGACTGGGACGGACTGGTTTGTACTGGTCTGTACAGGTCTATACAGATTCATACTGGTGTATACTGCTTCATACTGGTCTGTACTGGTCTATATTGATCTGTACTGGTTTGTACTGGTTTGTACTGGTTTGTACTGGTCCGTACTGGTCCGTACCCGGACAGGCGACGGGGTCGACACGGGGCTCGTGCCCCCCCGAGCACAGGAACCGGGGGGTCTGTACTGGTCTGTACTGGTCTGTACTGGTTTATACTGGTTTATACTGGTCTATACTGGTTTGTACTGGTTTGTACTGGTTTATACTGGTCTATACCGGTTTGTACTGGTTTGTACTGGTTTATACTGGTTTATACTGGTCTATACTGGTTTATACTGGTCCGTACTGGTCCGTACCCGGGCAGGCGACGGGGTCGACGCGGGGCTCGTGCCCCCCCGAGCACAGGAACCGGGGGGTCTGTACTGGTCTGTACTGGTCTGTACTGGTTTGTACTGGTTTGTACTGGTTTGTACTGGTTTATACTGGTCTATACTGGTCTATACTGGTCTGTACTGGTTTATACTGGTCTATACTGGTTTATACTGGTCCGTACCGGGGCAGGCGACGGGGTCGACGCGGGGCTCGTGCCCCCCGAGCACAGGAACCGGGGGGTCTGTACTGGTTTATACTGGTCTATATTGATCTGTACTGGTCTATACTGGTCCGTACTGGTTTATACTGGTCTATACTGGTTTATACTGGTCTGTACTGGTCCGTACCCGGGCAGGCGACGGGGTCGACGCGGGGCTCGTGCCCCCCCGAGCACAGGAACCGGGGGGTGACGATGTCCTCCAGGGAGGTGACGTTGGCGTAGGGGGCGGCACGGAGAGCGTCGGCCTCGCACGGGGCCCGCTGGGGACAGAGGGGACAGAGGGGGACATTGGGGACAGTGGGGACAGTGAGGGGACAGTGGGGGGATGTTGGGGACATTGGGGACATGGGGGGGTTGGGGACACAGTGGGGACAGTGGGGACACGCAGGGGACAGTGAGGGGACAGTCAGGGGACAGTCAGGGGACAGTGGGGACATTGGGGGGACAGTGGGGACAGTGAGGGGACAGTGGGGACATTGGGGACACATTTGGGACAGTGAGGGGACATTGGGAACATTGGGGGGACAGTGGGGATGTTGGGGACATTGGGAGGATTTGGGGGATTGGGGGACACACAGGGGACATTGGGGACATTTGGGGATAGTCAGGGGACATTGGGAGGGCACAGGGGACATTGGGGACACTCAGGGGACATTCAGGGGACACACAGGGGACAGTGAGGGACACGGAGGGACAGAGGGGACAGTCAGGGGACAGTGGGGACAGTGAGGGGACATTGGGGACACATTTGGGACAGTGAGGGGACATTGGGGACAGTGAGGGGACAGTGGGGACAGTGGGGGGACATTGGGGACACAGGGACACGCAGGAGACAGTCAGGGGACAGTGGGGACAGTGAGGGGACATTGGGGACACATTTGGGACAGTGAGGGGATGTTGGGGACAGTGAGGGGACAGTGGGGACATTGGGGACATTGGGGACACACAGGGGACAGTCAGGGGACACGGGGACAGTCACAGAGATGTCACACATGACGGGTGGCACAGGAACCCAGGGGTGACACGGGGGTGACACAGGGACCCGGGGGTGTCCCCAGCTGTCCCCAGCTGTCCCCAGGTGTCCCCAGGTACCCCCAGCTGTCCCCAGCTGTCCCCAGGTGTGTCCCCAGGTGTCCCTGTGGGTGTCCCCAGCTGTCCCCAGCTGTCCCCAGGTGTGTCCCCAGCTGTCCCCAGGTGTCCCCAGCTGTCCCCAGCTGTCCCCAGGTGTCCCCAGGTGTCCCCAGCTGTCCCCAGGTGTGTCCCCAGCTGTCCCCAGGTGTGTCCCCAGGTGTGTCCCCAGCTCTCCCCAGCTGTCCCCAGGTGTGTCCCCAGCTGTCCCCAGGTGTGTCCCCAGGTGTGTCCCCAGGTGTCCCCAGCTGTCCCAGGTGTCCCCAGGTGTGTCCCCAGCTGTCCCCAGGTGTGTCCCCAGGTGTGTCCCCAGGTGTCCCCAGCTGTCCCCAGGTGTCCCCAGGTGTGTCCCCAGCTGTCCCCAGCTGTCCCCAAGTGTCCCCAGCTGTCCCCAGGTGTCCCCAGGTGTGTCCCCAGCTGTCCCCAGCTGTCCCCAGGTGTGTCCCCAGGTGTCCCCAGGTGTGTCCCCAGGTGTGTCCCCAGGTGTGTCCCTCAGGTGTCCCCAGGTGTGTCCCTGTGGGTGTCCCCATCTGTCCCCAAGGTGTCCCCAGGTGTCCCCAGCTGTCCCCAGCTGTCCCCAGGTGTGTCCCCAGGTGTGTCCCCAGGTGTCCCCAGGTGTCCCCAGCTGTCCCCAGGTGTCCCCAGGTGTGTCCCCAGGTGTCCCCAGGTGTCCCCAGGTGTGTCCCCAGGTGTCCCCAGGTGTCCCCAGCTGTCCCCAGGTGTCCCCAGGTGTGTCCCCAGCTGTCCCCAGGTGTCCCCAGGTGTGTCCCCAGGTGTCCCCAGGTGTCCCCAGGTGTGTCCCCAGCTGTCCCCAGCTGTCCCCAGGTGTCCCCAGGTGTCCCCAGTGTCCCCAGGTGTCCCCAGGTGTCCCCAGGTGTCCCCAGGTGTCCCTGTGGGTGTCCCCAGTGTCCCCAGGTGTCCCCAGGTGTGTCCCACCTGCTCCCCCAGTTTCAGCAGGATCTGCTGTCTCTGCAGGCCGGCGCTGCCGCGCGGGGACACGAAAAACGCCTCCACGTTCTTGGGGGGCAGCAGCAGCCGGCCTGGGGTCAGGGGTCAGGGGTCAGGGGTCAGGGGTCACACGGGGGGTCAGGGGTCACGGGGGGTCAGGGGTCACGGGGGGTCAGGGGTCACACGGGGTCAGGGAATTTGGGGGGTCTGGGGGGGCCCTGTTTGGTTCCCGGGGGGTTCTGGGGGTCTTGGGGGGGGGGTCCCTGGAGGGATTTGAGGGTCCCGGGGGGGATTTGGGGGTCCCTGAAGGGGATTGGGGGGGTTCTGGAGGTCTTGGGGGGTCCCTGGAGAGGTTTGGGGGGTCCCTGGTGGGAATTAGGGGGTCCCAGGGGGGATTTGGGGGGTCCCGGGGAAAGTTTGGGGGGTCCTGGAGGGGTTTGGGGGTCCCGGGGGGGAATTTGGGGGGTCCCAGGGGGGATTTGGGGGGTCCCGGGGAAAGTTTGGGGGGTCCTGGAGGGGTTTGGGGGTCCCGGGGGGGAATTGGGGTCCCAGGGGGGGATTTGGGGGTCCCAGGAGAGGATTTGGGGGTCCCAGGGGGGATTTGGGGGGTCCTGGGGGAGATTTGGGGGGTCCCAGGGGGGGATTTGGGGGTCCCAGGGGGGGATTTGGGGGGTCCCAGGGGTGACTTTGGGGGTCCCTGGAGGGGTTTGGGGGTCCCAGGGGGGATTTGGGGGGTCCCAGGGGGGATTTGGGGGTCCCTGAGGGGGTTTGGGGGGTCCCTGAGGGGATTTGGGGGGTCCCGGGGGGGGATTTGGGGGGTCCAAGGGGGGATTTGGGGGTCCCAGGGGGGATTTGGGGGTCCCAGGGGGGGATTTCGGGGTCCCAGGGGGGATTTGGGGGTCCCTGGAGGGGATTTGGGGGGTCCCGGGGGGGATTTGGGGGGTCCCTGGAGGGGTTTGGGAGGGTTCTGGGGGTCTTGGGGGGTCCCTGGAGAGGTTTGGGGGGTCCCTTCTGGGAATTTGGGGGTCCCTGGTGGGGTTTGGGGGGTCCAGGGGGAATTTGGGGGGTCCCTGGAGAGGTTTGGGGGTCCCTGGTGGGAATTTGGGGGGTCCCATGGGGGGATTTGAGGGTCTCAGGGGGGGATTTGGGGGGATTCTCAGGGGATTTGGGGATATTTGGGGAGTCCCGGGGATATTTGGGGGATATTTGGGGGGTCTCAGGGGATATTTGGGGTGATTTGGGGGATTTTGGGGGATTTTGGGGGGATTTGGGGGATTTTTGGGGTGCTTTGGGGGATTTTGGGAGTCTCAGGGGATATTTGGGGTGATTTGGGGGATATTTGGGGGGTCTCAGGGGATATTTGGGGGGATTTGGGGGATTTTTGGGGTGCTTTGGGGATATTTTGGGGGTCTCAGGGGGGATTTGGGGATATTTGGGGGAATTTGGGGCTATTTTGGGGGTCTCAGGGGGGATTTGGGGGATATTTGGGGGGGTCTCAGGGGATATTTGGGGGAATTTGGGGATATTTTGGGGGTCTCAGGGGGGATTTGGGGATATTTGGGGATATTTGGGGATATTTTGGGGGTCTCAGGGGATATTTGGGGTGATTTGGGGGATATTTGGGGGTCTCAGGGGATATTTGGGGGATTTTTGGGGTGATTTGGGGATATTTGGGGGGTCTCAGGGGATATCTGGGGGATATTTGGGGGAATTTGGGGATATTTTGGGGGGATTTGGGGGATATTTGGGGGAATTTGGGGGGTCTCAGGGGATATTTGGGGTGATTTGGGGGATATTTGGGGGAATTTGGGGATATTTTGGGGGTCTTAGGGGATATTTGGGGTATTTTGGGGTAATTTGGGGATATTTGGGGTGATTTGGGGGAATTTGGGGATATTTTGGGGGTCTCAGGGGATTTTTGGGGTGATTTGGGGATATTTGGGGGGTCTCAGGGGATATTTGGGGGGTCTCAGGGGATATTTGGGGGAATTTGGGGCTATTTTGGGGTCTCTCACGGTGCTCCTGGCAGGAACTCCCCTCCGGCAGCCGCAGCGCCCGCGCCGCCCCCTCGGTGCAGGGGATGCAGATGGGGCTGGGGGGGGATTTTGGGGGGGTCAGCACCCCAAAAACACCCCCGGGACCCCCCCCAAACCCCCCCAAACCCCCCGGGACCCCTCCCCCTCACCGGTGGGTGGGGGAGGGGCGCACGGGCCGGTCCAGCTGCAGCAGCGCCGCGTCGAAGTCGTAGAACTCGGGGACCCCCCGAGAACGGCGCCCCCCGGGGCTGAACTCGGGGTGCAGGAACAGCCCCCGCACCCCCCGCCGCTCGCGGGGCCCTGGGGGACCCCAAAATACCCCAAAATTCACCCAAAATCCCCCCGGGGCTGAACTCGGGGTGCAGGAACAGCCCCCGCACCCCCCGCCGCTCACGGGGCCCTGCGGGACCCCAAAATACCCCAAAATTCACCCAAAATTCACCCCAAAGCCCCCCGGGGCTGAACTCGGGGTGCAGGAACAGCCCCCGCACCCCCCGCCGCTCCCGGGGCCCTGGGGGACCCCAAAATAACCCAAAATTAACCCAAAATTCACCCCAAAGCCCCCCGGGGCTGAACTCGGGGTGCAGGAACAGCCCCCGCACCCCCCGCCGCTCGCGGGGCCCTGCGGGACCCCAAAATTCACACAAATACCCCAAAATTCACCCAAAATACCCCAAAATTCACCCAAAATACCCCCAAATCCCCAAAATCCCCCAAAATCCACCCAGGATCACCCAAAATTCACCCCAAATCCCCCCGGGGCTGAACTCGGGGTGCAGGAACAGCCCCCGCACCCCCTGCCGCTCTCGGGGCCCTGGGGGACCCCAAAATACCCCCAAAATTCACCCAAAATCCCCAAATCCCCCAAAATCCCCCCAGGATCCCCCCAAATCCCCCCAAAATCCCCCCGGGGCTGAACTCGGGGTGCAGGAACAGCCCCCGCACCCCCCGCCGCTCACGGGGCCCTGGGGGGACCCCAAAATTCACCCAAAATACCCCAAAATGCACCCAAAATCCCCAAAATTCACCCCAAATACCCCAAAATTCACCCAAAATCCCCCCGGGGCTGAACTCGGGGTGCAGGAACAGCCCCCGCACCCCCCGCCGCTCACGGGGCCCTGGGGGACCCCAAAATTCACCCAAAATCCCCAAAAATTCACCCAAATCCCCCAAAAATTCACCCAGGAACCCCCAAATCCCCACAGGACCCCCCAAATCCCCCCCAAAATCCCCCCAGGATCCCCCAAAATCAGGTGCCCCCGGTGCCCCCCAGGTGCCCCCCAGGTGCCCCCAGGGGCCCCAGGTGCCCAGCTGTGCCCCCCAAGTGCCCCCAAGTGCCCCCAAGTGCCCCCAAGTGCCCCCAGGTGCCCCCCAGGTGCCCCCAGGTGCCCCCCAGGACATTCCGGGCTGTCCCCAGGTGCCCCCAGGTACCCCCCAGGTACCCCCAGGTGCCCCCAGGTGCCCAGTTGTCCCCCCTAGGTGCCCCCAGGTGTGCCCAGGTGCCCCCAGGTGCCAGGTTGTATCCCCCAGGTACCCCAAGTTGCCCCAGGTGCCCCCGCTGTGCCCCCCAGGTGTGCCCCAGGTGCCCCCACGTGCCCCCACGTGCCCAGTTGTCCCCCCCAGGTACCCCCAGGTGCCCCCAGGTACCCCCCAGGTGCCCCCCAGGTGCTCAGTTGTCCCCCCCAGGTACCCCCAGGTATCCCCAGGTGCCCCCCAGGTGCCCCCAGGTGCCCCCAGGTACCCCCCAGGTATCCCCCAGGTACCCAGGTGTGCCCTCCGGTGCCCCAGCTGTCCCTCCCAAGTGCCCCAGGTGCCCCCAAGTGCCCCCAGGTGCCCCCAGGTGCCCAGTTGTCCCCCCCAGGTATCCCCCAGGTGCCCCCAGGTGCCCAGTTGTCCCCCCCAGGTATCCCCCAGGTACCCCCAGGTGCCCAGTTGTCCCTCCCAGGTGCCCCCCAGGTACCCCCAGGTGCCCCCAGGTGTGCCAGACCGATGTCCACGCTGAGCCAGGTGGGCAGGTCGTGCCCGCTGAAGCAGTGGGCGGCGCTCAGCACGAAGTACGGCGACACCAACGAGCCCTGGCAGCGCTCCTGGCCCCGCCCGGGCCGCTGCGGGCACCAGCAGGTGAGCCAGGTGAGCCAGGTGTGCCCCCAGGTGTGCCCCAGGTGTGCCCAGGTACCCCCCAGGTGTGCCAGGTGTGCCCAGGTACCCCCCAGGTGTGCCCCCAGGTGTGCCCAGGTACCCCCCCATGTGTCCCCAGGTGTGCCCCAGGTGCCCCCAGGTGCGCCCAGCTGTGCCCAGGTGCCCCCAGGTGTGCCCCAGGTGCCCCCAGGTGCGCCCAGCTGTGCCCAGGTGCCCCCAGGTGTGCCCCAGGTGCCCCAAGGTGTGCCCAGGTGTGCCCAGGTGTGCCCAGGTGTGCCCACGTGTATCCCAGGTGTGCCCCAGGTGTGCCCAGGTACCCCCCAGGTGTGCCCCAGGTGCCCCCAGGTGTGCCCAGGTACCCCCAGGTGTGCCCCAGGTGCCCCCAGGTGTGCCCAGGTACCCCCAGGTGTGTCCAGATATCCCCCAGGTGTGCCCCAGGTGTGCCCCCAGGTACCCCCAGGTGTGGCCCAGGTACCCCCAGGTGTGCCCAGGTGTGCCCAGGTGTGCCCCAGGTGTGCCCCAGGTACCCCCCAGGTGTGCCAGGTGTGCTCAGGTGTGCCCAGGTACCCCACACGTACCCCCCAGGTGTGCCCAGGTACCCCCAGGTGTGCCCAGGTACCCCCCAGATGTGGTTTTGGATGTGCCAGGTGTGCCAGGTGTTGCCAGGTGTGTTTTTAGGTGTGCCAGGTGCCCCCAGGTGTCCCCAGGTGCGCCCAGGTGTGTTTTTAGGTGTGCCCAGGTGTGCCCAGGTGTGCCCAGGTGTGTTTATAGGTGTGCCCAGGTGTGCCCAGGTGTGTTTTTAGGTGCCCAGGTGTGCCCAGGTGCCCAGCTGTGCCCAGCTGTGCCCAGGTGTGCCCAGGTGTGCCAGCTGTGCCCGCTCACCGTCACGGTCACCGTCACCTCCCAGGGGTTCCTCCAGGTGTGCCCAGGTGTGTTTTTGGGTGCCCCCAGGTGTGCCCAGGTGTATTTTTGGGTGTGCCCAGGTGTTTTTAGGTGTGCCCAGGTGTGGTTTTAGGTGCCCCAGGTGTGTTTATAGGTGTGCCCAGGTGTGCCCAGGTGTGCCCAGGTGTACCCCCAGGTGTTCCCAGGTGTGCCCAGGTGTGTTTTTAGGTGCCCAGGTGTGCCCAGGTGTCCCCAGGTGTGCCCAGCTGTGCCCAGGTGTGCCTCAGGTGTGCCCCAGGTGTGCCCAGCTGTGCCCAGGTGTGCCCCAGGTGTGCCCAGGTACCCCCAGGTGTGCCCGGGTGTGCCCCAGGTACCCCCCAGGTACCCCCCAGGTGTGCCCAGGTACCACCCAGGTGTGCCCAGGTGCCCCCAGGTGTGCCCAGGTGTGCCCGCTCACCGTCACGGTCACCGTCACCTCCCAGGGGTTCCTCCAGGTGTGCCCAGGTGTGTTTTTAGGTCCCCCAGGTGTGCCCAGGTGTATTTTTAGGTGCTCCCAGGTGTATCCCAGGTGTGCCCGGGTACCCCCAGGTGCCCCAGGTGTGCCCAGCTGTGCCCGCTCACCGTCACGGTCACCGTCACCTCCCAGGGGTTCCTCTCGCGGTCGTCGGCGCGGCCGAACTCGAGGCTGACCCCGCACAGCCCCAGCGTCGAACTCTCGTCTGCAGTTTGGGGTTTTTTTGGGGTTTTTGGGGATTTTGGGGGTTTTTGGGATTTTTGGGGATTTTTGGGATGGGTTTTTGGGGTAGTTCTGGGGATTTTTGGGGGTTTTTTTGGGGATTTTTTGGATTTTCGGGGGATTTTTTGGGGTTTTTGGGGGTTTTTTGGGATGGTTTTTGGGGTAGTTTTGGGGATTTTTTGGGGTTTTTTTGGGATGGTTTTTGGGGATTTTTGGGATGGTTTTGGGGTTTTTTTTGGGATGGTTTTTGGGGTTTTTTTGGGATGGTTTTTGGGGTAGTTTTTGGGATTTTTGGGATTTTTGGGGGATTTTTTGGGGGTTTTTGGGATGGTTTTTAGGGTTTTTTGGGATGGTTTTTGGGTTAGTTTTGGGGATTTTTTTGGGGTTTTTTGGGATGGTTTTTGGGGCAGTTTTTGGGATGGTTTTTGGGGTTTTTTTGGGATGGTTTTTGGGGATTTTTGGGGATTTTTTGGGGTTTTTCGGGATGGTTTTTGGGGTTTTTTGGGATGGTTTTTGGGGTTTTTGGGGATGGTTTTTGGGGTAGTTTTTGGGATGGTTTTTGGGTTAGTTTTGGGGATTTTTTGGGGTTTTTTGGGATGGTTTTTGGGGTTTTTTTGGGATGGTTTTTGGGTTAGTTTTGGGGATTTTTTGGGGTTTTTTTGGGATGGTTTTTGGGGTAGTTTTTGGGATGGTTTTTGGGGTAGTTTTGGGGATTTTTTTGGGTTTTTTTTTATTTTTTAGAGTTTTTTGGGGATTTTTTGGGGTTTTTTGGGGTTTTTGGGGTGCCAGGTACCGATCATGCGGTGGAACACCTCCTGCAGGTCCTCGGTGTCCCGCAGGAAGAACACGGGGGGATTTTTGGGCCATTTTTTGGGGTTTTTTGTGTTTTTTGGGCTGGTTTTTTTGGGTTTTTGGGATTTTTGGGCTGGTTTTTTTGGGTTTTTGGAATTTTTGGGCTGGGTTTTTTGGGGTTTTTGGGTTTTTTTGGGGTGCCAGGTACCGATCATGCGGTGGAACACCTCCTGCAGGTCCTCGGTGTCCCGGCGGAAGAACATGGGGGGATTTTTGGGCCGTTTTTGGGGTTTTTTGGATTTTTGAGCTGGTTTTTTTGAGTTTTTGGGATTTTTGGGGTGGGTTTTTTGGGGTTTTTTGGGGTGCCAGGTACCGATCATGCGGTGGAACACCTCCTGCAGGTCCTCGGTGTCCCGGAGGAAGAAGACGTGCTGCTCCCCCGCCTTGTGCGACGCCAGCGCGTTCAGAGTCTCGGCGTGCGCCTCCTCCCCCAGCCCGAAGGCGTAAACGTCTGCGGGGGCAGAGGGGTCAGGGCAGCCCAAAACACCCCAAAAACAGCCTGAGCCACCCCAAAAACAGCCTGAAACACCCCAAAATAAACCCGAAACGGACAAAACCAGCACAAAACACCCCAACACCGGCCTGAAACAGCCCAAAAACAGCACAAAACACCCCAAAACAGCCTCAAACACCCCAAAATAAACCCGAAACGGACAAAACCAGCACAAAACACCCCAACACCAGCCCGAAACAGCCCCAAAACCAGCACAAAACACCCCAAAACAGCCCAGAACATCCAAAAAACAGCACAGAACACCCCAAAATCAGCCTGAAACAGATAAAAACAGCACAAAACACCCCAAAACCAGACTGAAACACCCCAAAATAAACCCGAAACGGACAAAACCACCACAAAACACCCCAACACCAGCCTGAAACAGCCCCAAAATCAGCACAAAACACCCCAAAAACAGCCGTGAATGCCCCAAAACCAGCCCAGAACATCCAAAAAAACAGCGCAAAACACCCCAAAACCAGCCTGAAATAAACAAAACCAGCCCCAAACAGATAAAAACAGCCCAGAACACCCCAAAAACCACCTGAAACACCCCAAAACCAGCCCCAAACAGACAAAACCAGCCTGAAACAGATAAAAGCAGCCCAAAATACCCCAAAACCAGCCCACAACACCCCTAAACCACCCGAAACCCACCCCAAAACCACCCCAAATACCCCACAACCACCCCAAATCTGCCCCGAACACCCCAAAGCCATCCCAAAACCGCCCCAAAACCGCCCCAAAACCGCCCTAAAACCATCCCAAACACCCCAAAACCAACCCAAAACCGCCCCAAAACTACCCCAAATCTGCCCCAAACACCCCAAAACCATCCCAAAACCATCCCAAAACCGCCCCAAATCTGCCCCGAACACCCCAAAACCAACCCAAAACCAACCCAAAACCGCCCCAAAACCACCCCAAACACCCCCAAAGCTGCTCCACGCACCCCCCCCACCGCCCCAAAATCCCCCCAAATCCCCCAAAATCCCCCCAAACCCCCCCAAACGCCCCGGGCCCCACCCAGGAACTCCTCGCGGGGGTCCCGGGGGTCTCTCCCGATGCTCAGCAGCTCCCGGATCTGGTGCAGGACGGGCACCGGGGACCCCCCCATGTTGGCACGGCCTGGGGGGCACGGGGGGTCAGGGGAGAGGTTTTGGGGGGATCTGGGGGGATTTGGGGGGTCCCAGGGGGGATTTGGGGGGGTCCCAGAGGGGCTTTGAGGGTCCCAGGGGGGATTTGGGGGGTCCCAGAGGGGATTTGGGGGTTCCCAGGGGGGATTTGGGGTTCCCAGGTGAGAACTGAGAGGATTTTGGGGCTCCCAGGGCAGTTTTTGGGGTTCCCAGGGGGATTTTGGGGTTCCCAGGGCAGTTTTTGGCATTCCCAGTTCAGTTTTTGGGGTTCCCAGGGCAGTTTTTGGCATTCCCGGGGCAGTTTTTGGGGTTCCCAGGGGGATTTTGGCGTTCCCAGGGCAGTTTTGGGGTGCCCAGTGCGGTTTTTGGGGTTCCCAGGGGGATTTTGACATTCCCAGTGTTTTTTTGAGGTTCCCAGTGCGGTTTTTGGGGTTCCCAGTTCAGTTTTTGGGGTGCCCAGGGTGGTTTTTGGGGTTCCCAGTTCAGTTTTTGGGGTTCCCAGTTCAGTTTTTGGCGTTCCCAGGGCAGTTTTTGGGGTTCCCAGGGCAGTTTTTGGGATTCCCAGGGCAGTTTTTGGCGTTCCCAGTTCAGTTTTTGGGGTTCCCAAGGCAGTTTTTGGGGTTCCCAGGGGGATTTTTGCATTCCCAGTTCAGTTTTTGGGGTTCCCAGTTCAGTTTTTGGGGTTCCCAGTGTGTTTTTGGGGTTCCCATGGGGATTTTGGCATTCCCAGTTCAGTTTTTGGGGTTCCCAGGGCAGTTTTTGGGGTTCCCAGGGCCGTTTTTAGGGTTCCCAGTTCAGTTTTTGGGGTTCCCAGTTCAGTGTTTGGGGTTCCCAGTTCAGTTTTTGGGGTTCCCAGTGCAGTTTTTGGGGTGCCCAGTGTGTTTTTGGGGTCCCACCGTCGGTCATGATGACGAGGACGTGCCGGGTGCTGTTGGTGACCGGGGCCGGGCGCAGCCCCCGCAGCCGCTCGGCGCGTTCCTGCTGCACCAGCAGCGCGTACACGGCCCGCAGCGCCCCGGCCAGGTTGGTACCCGGGGCCTGGGAGTGGGCTGGGGGAAAGGGGGGTCAGCGGCACCCCAAAAATCCCAAAAATCCCAAAAAACCCCATAGAGATCTTACAGAAATCCCAAAAACCCCAAAAACCCTAAAAAACCCAAAACCCCCACAGAAATCCCACAGAAATCCCACAAAAACCCCGCAGCGCCCCGGCCAGGTTGGTGCCGGGGGCCTGAGAGTGGGCTGGGGGAAAGGGGGGTCAGAGGCACCCCAAAAATCCCAAAATCCCAAAAAAACCCCATAGAGATCCCATAGAAACCACAGAAACCCCAAAAACCCTAAAAAACCCAAAACCCCCACAGAAATCCCACAGAAATCCCACAAAAACCCCGCAGCGCCCCGGCCAGGTTGGTACCGGGGGCCTGAGAGTGGGCTGGGGGGCAGGGGGGTCAGCGGCACCCCAAAATCCCAAAAATCCCATAGAGATCTTACAGAAATCCCAAAAACCCCAGAAACCCTAAAAAACCCAAAACCCCCACAGAAACCCCACAGAAATCCCACAAAAACCCCAAAAACCCCGGCCAGGTTGGTACCCGGGGCCTGAGAGTGGGCTGGGGGAAAGGGGGGTCAGCGGCACCCCAAAAATCCCAAAAACCCCAAAAAACCCCATAGAGATCCCATAGAAACTACAGAAACCCCAAAATCCCAAAAAACCCATAGAGATCCCACAAAAACCCCGCAGCGCCCCGGCCAGGTTGGTACCCGGGGCCTGTGAGTGGGCTGGGGGAAAGGGGGGTCAGCGGCACCCCAAAAAACCCCAAAATCCCAAAAAACCCCCATAGAGATCCCATAGAAACCACAGAAACCCCAAAAAAACCATAGAGATCCCACAGAAACCACAGAAATCCCAAAAAACCCAAAAACCCCATAGAGATCCCACAGAAACCCCCAAAACCCCACAGAGATCCCAAGAGAGCAGAGACAAACCCTGGGACCCAAAATTACACCAAGTCCACCCCAAATCCCCCAAAACCCCAAACCCCAAACCCCCCAAACCCCAAACCCCAAAAACCCCAAACCCCAAACCCCACACCCCACACCCCAAACCCCAAACCCCAAACCCCACACCCCAAACCCCGCACCCCGCACCCCGCACCCCACACCCACCGTCGAGGCGCAGCTCCCGCAGCCGCTGCCGCACCCACCCCCCGTGGGTGGCGTTGGGCTCGGTGGGGCTCAGCTCCACGCGGGGCTCGGAGCCGAACGTCACCACCCCATAGCGCGGGGCGGCCCCGAGGCTGGCGAGCTGGGGGGCCAGAGGGGTTTGGGGTGTGGGGTGTGGGGTTTGGGGTGTGGGGTGTGGGGGGTTAAAGGGGTTTGGGGTGTGGGGTTTGGGGTTATAGGGGTTTGGGGTTATAGGGGTTTGGAGTGTAGGGTTTAGGGTTAGAGGGGTTTGGGGTGTGGGGTTTGGGGGTTGGGGTTTGGGGTGGGGGGGGTGGGGGGTGGGGGGGTGGGGGGGTGGGGTGTGGGGTGTGGGGTTTGGGGTGTGGGGTGTGGGGTGTGGGGTTTGGGGTCAGAGGGGTTTGGGGGGTTTGGGGGGTTAAAGGGGTTTGGGGTGTGGGATTTTGGGGGTTAAAGGGGTTTGGGGGGTTAAAGGGGTTTGGGGTATTTGGGGTTTGGGGTTTTAGGGTTTGGGGGTTTGGGGGTGTTAAAGGGGGTTTGGGTGTGGGGTTTTGGGGTGTGGGGTTTGGGGTGTGGGGTGTGGGATTTGGGGTCTGGGGTTTGGGGTGTGGGGTTTGGGGGGTTAAAGGGGTTTGGGGGGTTAAAGGGGTTTGGGGGTGTTTGAAGGGGGTTTGGGGTATTTGGGGTTTGGGGCGTTTGGGGTTTGGGGTTTTAGGGTTTGGGGGTTTTGGGGGGTTAAAGGGGTTTGGGGTGGTTTCAGGGTACTTTGGGTGGTTTTTTTGGGGTGTTTCTGGAGTATTTTTTGGGGTGGTTTCAGGGTACTTTGGGGTGGTTTTTTGGGGGTGTTTCTGGAATATTTTTGGGGTGGTTTCAGGTTACTTTGGGGTGTTTTTTTGGGGTGTTTCTGGGGTGTTTTGGGGTGGTTTCAGGGTACTTTGGGGGTTTTTTTGGGGGTGTTTTGGGGTGGTTTCAGGGTACTTTGGGGTGTGTTTTTGGGGGTATTTTGGGGTGGTTTCAGGGTGCTTTGGGGTGTGTTTTTGGGGTGTTTTCCGGGTGTTTTGGGGCTGTACCTTCTCCACCAGCTCGCCCAGCGCGGCGCGCGCGTTCTCGTAGTCCCGCGCGTTGACGCTGCGCGACGCGTCCAACACCAGGAACACGTTCAGGGCGCCCCCCGCCTCCAGCCGGATCCGCCGCTTGGCCGTGGGGTCTGCGGGACCCCCGGGACCCCGTCAGACCCCCGGGACCCCCGGGACAGCCCCGGGACCCCGTCAGAGCCCCGGGACCCCCGTCAGACCCCCGGGACCCCCGTCAGACCCCCGGGACAGCCCCGGGACCCCCGGGACCCCGTCAGAACCCCGGGACCCCCGGGACCCCCGGGACCCCGTCAGACCCCCGGGACCCCCGGGAGAGCCTCGGGACCCTCGGGACAGCCCCGGGACCCCCGGGACCCCCGGGACCCCCGTCAGACCCCCGGGACCCTCGGGATCCCCGTCGGACCCCCGGGACCCCCGGGACAGCCCCGGGACCCCCGGGACCCCCGTCAGACCCCCGGGACCCCCGGGAGAGCCTCGGGACCCCCGTCAGACCCCCGGGACCCCCGTCAGACCCCCGAGACCCCCATCAGACCCTCGGGACCCCCGTCAGACCCCCGGGACCCTCGGGACCCCCGTCAGACCCCCGAGACCCCCGTCAGACCCCCGGGACCCCCATCAGATCCCCAGGACCCCCACCAGACCCCCGGGACAGCCCCGGGACCCCCGTCTGACCCCCGGGACCCCCGGGAGAGCCTCGGGACCCCCATCAGACCCCCGGGACCCCGTCAGACCCCCGGGACCCCCATCAGACCCCCGGGACAGCCCTGGGACCCTCGGGAGAGCCTCGGGACCCTCGGGACAGCCCCGGGACCCCCGGGACCCCCGTCAGACCCCCGGGAGAGCCCCGGGACAGCCCCGGGACCTCCGTCAGACCCTCGGGACCCCCGTCAGACCCTCGGGACCCCCGGGACAGCCCCGGGACCCTCGGGACCCCCATCAGACCCCCGGGACAGCCCCGGGAGACCCCCGGGACCCCTGGGACAGCCCCGAGACCCCCATCAGACCCCCGGGACCCCCGTCAGACCCCCGGGACCCCCGTCAGACCCTCGGGACCCCCGGGACAGCCCCGGGACCCCCGGGACCCCCACCGTGGGTGCTGTTGGCCTCGGCCGCCTCCACGGTCTGGGTCAGGGACGCCATGAACGCCTCGGCCGCGTCCTCGGGGGTGTCGAAGGAATTGGGGTCTGGGGGCGGCAGCGGGGGGACACCGGGGTCACCTCCGGGACCTGCCGGAGCCCCCCAAAACCGCCCGGGACCCCCCGGGACCCCTCCGGGACCCCCCGGGACCCCCCAGGACCCCCCGGGACCCCCCGGGACCCCTCCGGGACCCCTCCGGGACCCCCCGGGACCCCTCCTCACCCCGGCACCGGGGCTCGGTACTGCTCCAGAACCCCCCCAGAACCCCCCGGGACCCCTCCGGGACCCCCCGGGACCCCTCCTCACCTCGGCACCGGGGCTCGGTACCGCTCCAGAACCCGCCCTCGAGGCAGCGGCGCTCGGCCGAGCCCACGAGCTGCAGCCCCGGGCGGCACCGGAACCGGACCAGCCCCTCCACGGCGAACCGGGACCGCGACCCCTCCATGGACGCCCCCGGCGGCACGGCCGGGGCCGGGCAGTCACCGGCTGGGGGGAAACGGGGTGGGGTGAGAGCCCCGAAAAGCCAAAAACAGCCCAAAAGCAGCCAGACCCCAAAACACCCCGAAACCAGCCCAAAAGAGCCCAAAAAATACCCCGAAACCAGCCCAAAAGAGCCCAAAAAATACCCCAAACCAGCCCAAAACCACCTCAAAACCAGCCCAGAAACGACCCCAAAAACAGCCCAAAAGCAGCCGGACCCCAAAACACCCCGAAACCAGCCCAAAAGAGCCAAAAAAATACCCCAAAACCAGCCCAAAAGAGCCCAAAACCACCTCAAAACCAGCCCCGAAAACCCAAAACCAGCCCAAAAGCAGCCAGACCCCAAAACACCCCGAAACCAGCCCAAAAGAGCCCAAAAAATACCCCAAAACCAGCCGAAAACCACCTCAAAACCAGCCCAGAAACGACCCCAAAAACAGCCCAAAACCTCTCCAAAACGGCCCAAAAAATAACCCAAAATCAGCCCAGAAACAGTCCAAAAACAAACAGCCCCAAACGCAGCTCAGAACACCCCAAAAGCAGCCGAAAAACCCACAGCGAAATCCCCCAAAACCGGCCCAAAAAACACCCCAAAACCACACAGAACACCTCAAAACTATTCTGAGACCCCCCCCAGGACCCCCAAACCCCCTCAGGACCCCCTCAGATCCCCCATCCCCCCCCCAGGACCCTCCAAAACTCCCCCAAACCCCCCCCAGGACCCCCCTCCCAGTGCCCCCCAAACCCCGCAAACCCCCCCAAAAACACCTCCCAACCCCCCCCAAAATTCCCTCATCCCCCCAAAATTCCTTCATCCCCCCAAAACCCCTTCCAAACCCCCCCAGGACCTCCCCGGACCCCCCTAAAACTCCCTCATCTCCCCCAAAACCCCTCCCAAACCCCCCAGGACCCCCCAGGACATCCCAGGACCCCCCCCAAACCCCCCAAATCCCCCAAAACTTCACCCAAACCTCCTCAGGACCCCCCAGGACCCCCCAAACCCCCCCCAGGACCCCCCCTTACATCCATCGTCGCAGACGGGGTCGGGCCCCTCCCAGCGCCCCCCTAACCCCCCCAAACACCCTCAAAACCCCCCCAAGCCCCCCCAGGACCCCCAACCCCCCCCCCAGGACCCCCCAGGACCCCCCAAAGCCCCCCCAGGACCCCCCAAAACCCCTCCAGGACCCCCCAGGACCCCCCAACCCCCCCCCCAGGACCCCCCAGGACCCCTTAAAACCCCCCCAGGACCCCCCAGGACCCCCTCAAATCCCCCCCAAGACCCCCCAAACCCCCCCTCAGGACCCCCCCCTTACATCCATCGTCGCAGACGGGGTCGGGCCCTTCCCAGCGCCCCCCAAACCCCCCCAGAACCCCCTCAAAACCCCCCCAAGACCCCCCAGAACACCCCAGAACCCCCTCAAAACCCCCCAGGACCCCCCAAGCCCCCTCAAAACCCCCCAGGACCCCCCAAACCCCCCCCCCCCAGGACCCCCCGTTACCTCCATCGTCGCAGACGGGGTCGGGCCCCTCCCAGCGCCCCCCGGCCCCGCAGCGCCGCTCGGGGGGCCCACGCAGGACGAATCCCCCCGCGCAGCCGAAGCGCAGCACCGAGCCCGGCGGGTGCCGCGCCCCCCGCGGGAAGAACCAGCCGTGCTCGAACTCCAGCGGGCCCGGGCACCACACGGCTGGGGAGGGGCGAGAAACGGGGGGTGGGACCCCCGGACACGGCCCGGGACCCCCGGACCCCCCATGGGATCCCCAAACCCAACCGGGACCCCCGGACACGGCCCGGGACCCCCAAACCCACCCGGGACCCCCGGGCACAGCCCGGACCCCCGGACACGGCCCGGGACCCCCGGACACGGCCCGGGACCCCCGGACCCCCCATGGGATCCCCAAACCCACCCGGACCCCCGGACACGGCCCGGGACCCCCAAACCCAGCCCGGACCCCCCATGGGATCCCCAAACCCAGCCGGGACCCCCGGACACAGCCCGGACCCCCCATGGGATCCCCAAACCCACCCGGGACCCCCAAACCCACCCGGGATACCCAAACCCACCCCGGGATCCCCAAACCCACCCGGGACCCCCGGACACGGCCCGGACCCCCCATGGGATCCCCCCAAACCCACCCGGGACCCCCGGACACAGCCCGGGACCCCCAAACCCACCCGGGACCCCCGGACACGGCCCGGGACCCCCCAAACCCACCCGGGATCCCCAAACCCAACCGGGACCCCCCGACACGGCCCGGGATCCCCAAACCCACCCGGGACCCCCGGACACGGCCCGGACCCCCCGACACGGCCCGGGACCCCCCCAAAACCACCGGGATCCCCAAACCCACCCGGGACCCCCAAACCCAACCGGGACCCCCGGACACGGCCCGGGACCCCCCGAACCCACCGGGACCCCCGGACACGGCCCGGGACCCCCCATGGGATCCCCAAACCCACCCGGGACCCCCAAACCCACCGGGACCCCCGGACACGGCCCGGGACCCCCCGAACCCAGCCCGGACCCCCCATGGGATCCCCAAACCCACCCGGGACCCCCAAACCCACCGGGACCCCCGGACACGGCCCGGACACAGCCCGGACCCCCCATGGGATCCCCGGACACGGCCCGGACACGGCCCGGGACCCCCAAACCCAGCCCGGACCCCCAAACCCACCCGGGATCCCCAAACCCACCAGGACCCCCGGACACGGCCCGGGACCCCCGGACCCCCCATGGGACCCCCAAACCCACCCGGGACCCCCAAACCCACCCGGGACCCCCGGACACGGCCCGGGACCCCCAAACCCACCGGGACCCCCAAACCCAACCGGGACCCCCGGACACGGCCCGGGACCCCCGGACCGTGTATGGGATCCCCAAACCCACCGGGACCCCCAAACCCACCCGGGACCCCCGGACACAGCCCGGACCCCCCATGGGACCCCCAAACCCACCGGGACCCCCGGACACGGCCCGGGACCCCCCATGGGATCCCCAAACCCACCCGGGACCCCCGGACACGGCCCGGGACCCCCCATGGGATCCCCAAACCCACCCGGGACCCCCAAACACAGCCGGGAACCCCCCCCGGGATCCCCAAACCCCTCAGGACACCCTCCAGAGCCCCACAAACCCCTCAGGACTCCCCCCAAAATCCCCTCAGAACCCCTCAGAACCCCCAAACTCCTCAGAACCCCCTCAAGACCCCCCAAACCCCTCAGAAACCCCCGCAAACCCCTCAGAACCCCCCAAAATCCCCCAAATCCCTCAGAACCGCCCCCAAAATCCCCCCAAACCCCTCAGAAACCCCCTCAAAATCCCGCCAAAACCCTCAGGGCCTTCCAAACCCCTCAGAACCCCCCAAACCCCTCAGAACTGCCCCCAAAATCCTCCCAAACCCCTCAAACCCCTCCGAACGCCCCCAAACCCCCCCCCCGAGCCCCCAAACCCCCCCGAGCCCCCAAACCCCCCCGAACGCCCCCCAAAATCCCCCCAAACCCCTCAGAACCCCCTCAAGACCCCCCCAAACCCCTCAGAATCCCCCCCCCCAAATCCCCCCAAACCCCTCAGGACACCCGCAAACCCCTAAGAAACCCCCCCAAGATCCCGCCAAACCCCTCAGGACCCCCTCAAGACCCCCCCCAAACCCCTCAGAACCGCCCGCAAACCCCTCAGAACTGCCCCCAAACCCCTCAGAAACCCCCGCAAAACCCCCCCAAACCCCTCAGAAATCCCCCAAACCCCTCAGAACCCCCTCAGGACCCCCTTAAGACCCCCCCCCAAACCCCCCAGAACCCCCCAAACCCCTCAGGACCCCCTCAGGACCCCCCCCCCAATCCCTCAGAACCTCCCCCCAGAACCTCCCCAAACCCCTCAGAATCCCCCAAAAACCCCTCAGAACTTCCCCGAAACCCCTCAAAACCCACCCCAAAACCCCCCCGAACGCCCCGAAACCACCCCCCGAGCCCCCAAACCCCCCCGAACGCCCCCAAACCCCTCAGATCCCCCCCCCCAAAATCCCCCCAAAGCCCTCAGAATCCCCCAAAAACCCCTTAGAACTTCCCCCAAAATCCCCCAAACCCCCCAGAACCCCCCCGAAACCCCTCAGGACCCCCCCAAACCCCCCCGAACGCCCCCAAACCCCCCCAAACCCCCCCAAACCCCCCAGCCCCCAGCCCCCAGCCCACCTTGGCAGCGCGGGGGTCCCGCCGCGCCCCCGGGCAGCGGCTCCCAGGCCCCGGCGGGGCCGCAGCGGCGCAGCGCGGTGGGCGCGGGGGCGGTGCCGGGGGGGCAGCGGTACAGCAGCACCTCCCCCCCCCGCCCGCAGCTCCCCGCGACCCCCCGAAATGGGCGCCAGGGAGGGGTCGCAGCGCGGGGGGGGCTCCGAGGGAGGGGGCGGCTCCGAGGGGGCGCCTGGGGGGAGAGGGGGAGGGGGGTTGTGGGGGGTCTCAGGGGGGCTTTTGGGGGGGTCTGGGGGGTCTGGGGGGGTTTTCGGGGTCCCTGGGGGGGTGGGGGTCTGGGGGGTCTGGGGGCTTTGGGGGGGTTTTGGGGGATTTGGGGGGGTTTTGGGGGTCCTTGGCAGGGGTCTGGGGGGTTTTGGGGGTCCCTGTGGGGGGGTCTGGGGGCTTTGGGGGGTTTTGGGGGTCCTTGTGGGGGGGTCTGGGGGATTTGGGGGATCCCTGGGGGGGGGTCTGGGGGCTTGGGGGGGGTTTTGGGGGTCCCTGTGGGGGGGTCTGGGGGCTTTGGGGGCTGGGGGGGGGGCTCAGGGGGTCCCTGGGGGGGGGTTTGAGTCCCTGAGGGGATTATTTGGGGTCCCTGGGGGGATTTGGGGTCCCGGGAGGATTTGGGGTCCCGGGGGTCTCTCACTGACCGCGGGCCGGGGGCAGCAGCAGCAGCAGCCCCAGGACAGCTCCGGCCATGGCCGAAGGTCCGAGTGTCCGAGTGTCCATCCCGCGGGTCCCTCTGTCCCCTCTCTGTCCCCTCTCTGTCCCTCTGTCCCTCTGTCTGTCCCTCTGTCCCTCTGTCCCTCTGTCTGTCCCTCTGTCCCTCTGTCCCTCTGTCCCTCTGTCTGTCCCTCTGTCCCTCTGTCCCTCTGTCCCTCTGTCTGTCCCTCTGTCCCTCTGTCTGTCCCTCTGTCCCTCTGTCCCTCTGTCCCTCTGTCCCTCTGTCTGTCCCTCTGTCCCTCTGTCTGTCCCTCTGTCCCCTCTCTGTCCCTCTGTCTGTCCCTCTGTCTGTCCCTCTGTCCCTCTGTCCCCTCTCTGTCCCTCTGTCCCTCTGTCTGTCCCTCTGTCCCCTCTCTGTCCCTCTGTCCCCGTGTCCGGGGGGGTCACAACCCCTCCCCCCCCCCCCGTCACTTCCCGGACACCGCGGGGGGGGCGGGGAGGGGTCAAAGGTCGGGGCCGTGACCGAGGGGACAGAGGGACAGAGGGACAGCGGGACAGAGGGACAGACAGAGGGACAGAGGGACAGCGGGACAGAGGGACAGACAGAGGGACAGAGGGACAGAGGGACAGAGGGACAGACAGAGGGACAGAGGGACAGAGGGACAGACAGAGGGACAGACAGAGGGACAGAGGGACAGACAGAGGGACAGAGGGACAGAGGGACAGCGGGACCCGCGGGGGGGTGGCCGAAAGCGCCTTAAGTGTCCAAAAATGGCTTTAATGGCCCCAAAAATGTCCCAAATGTGTCCCAAAATGGCTTTAATGGCCCCAAAAATGTCCCAAGTGTGCCCAAAATGGCTTTAATGGCTCCAAAAATGGCTTTAATGGCTCCAAAAATGGCTTTAATGGCCCCAAAAATGCCCCAAATGTGCCTAAAAATGGCTTTAATGGCCCCAAAAATGGCTTTAATGGCTCCAAAAATGTCTTTAAATGCTCCAAAAATGTGCTAAATGTGCCCCAAAATGGCTTTAATGGCTCCAAAAATGTCCCAAGTGTGCTTAGAAATGGCTTTAATGGCTCCAAAAATGGCTTTAATGGCCCCAAAAATGTCCCAAATGTGCTCCAAAATGGCTTTAATGGCCCCAAAAATGTCCCAAATGTGCCCAAAAATGGCTTTAATGGCCCCAAAAATGTCCCAAATGTGTCCCAAAATGGCTTTAACGGCCCCAAAAATGTCCCAAATGTGCCTAAAAATGCATTAAATGTGCCCAAAAATGGCTTTAATGGCTCCAAAAATGTCCTAAATGTGCCCCAAAATGGCTTTAATGTACCTAAAAATTTCTTTAATGGCCCTCAAAATGGCTTTAATGGCCCTAAAAATGTCCTAAATGTGCCTAAAAATGCCTTAAATGTGCCTAAAAATGCCTTAAATGTGCCCAAAAATGGCTTTAACGGCCCCAAAAATGTCCTAAATGTGTCCCAAAATGGCTTTAATGGCCCCAAAAATGTCCCAAATGTGCCTAAAAATGGCTTTAATGTACCTAAAAATGCCTTAAATGTGACACGGGGACGGTGACACGGCGATGGCGATGGTGGCACTGCGGTGGCAATGGTGACACTGCGATGGTGACACGGGGACGGCGACACGGGGACGGTGCCACGGCGATGGTGACACGGGGACGGTGACACGGGGACGGTGACACGGGGACGGTGACACGGGGACAGTGCCACGGCGATGGTGGCACTGCGGTGGCGATGGTGGCACTGCGATGGTGACACGGGGACGGTGACACGGGGACGGTGCCACGGCGACATCGGCGGCGCTACAGCGGCTCCCGCAGCTCCTCCGAGTGTCCCCAACCTGCGGAGGGGACACGGAGAGGGACAGCGCTGGACACGCGCGTCCCCAAATGTCCCCTCCCCGTGTCGCCGTGTCGCCGTGTCCCCTCACCGCGGCTGGCGCTGTCCTCGCTGTCCCCGGACGTGTCGCGGCTGCCGCTGTCCCCAAGGGCCGCCACCCTCGGCCACTCCTGCCGGGGGGGGTGGCCCTGGGGACGTGTCCCCTCCCCCTGGGGACCTGTCCCCGCTGTCCCCTGTCCCGGGACAGGCGGGAGTGGCACTTGGGGACCTGTCCCCTCCCCTTGGGGACCTGTCCCCGCTGTCCCCTCCCCCTGGGGACCTGTCCCCACTGTCCCCTCCCCTTGGGGACGTGGCCCCTGTGCCGGGGGAGGTGGCAGCGGCCACTGGGGACGTGTCCCCTCCCCTTGGGGACCTGTCCCCGCTGTCCCCTGTCCCGGGACAGGCGGGAGTGGCACTTGGGGACCTGTCCCCTCCCCCTGGGGACGTGTCCCCTGTCCCGGGACAGGCGGGAGTGGCACTTGGGGACCTGTCCCCTCCCCTTGGGGACGTGTCCCCTGTCCCGGGACAGGCGGGAGTGGCACTTGGGGACCTGTCCCCTCCCCTTGGGGACCTGTCCCCGCTGTCCCCTGTCCCTGGGGCCGTGTCCCCGCTGTCGCCTCCCCTCGGGGATGTCCCCAAGGTCCCCGCGGCCGGAGCCACGTCCCCAAGGCCTGGAGCCACGTCCCCGCGAGTCCCCACGGTGTCCCCGCGTGTCCCCACGGTGTCCCCGCGTGTCCCCAAGGCTCGGGGACAGGGAGGGGCGCGGCGGGCCCTGGGGGAGGGGAGGGGACAAGGATGGGGACAGCGACAGCGACACCGCGGCCCGGTGTCCCCACGGTGTCCCCCAGCGTGTCCCCACAGTGTCCCCCAGCGTGTCCCCGATGTCCCTCCTTGTCCCCAGTGCCCCCCTTGTCCCCAATTGTCCCCAAATGTCCCCAATGTCCCATTGTCCCCCCTTTATCCAAATGTCCCCAAATGTCCCCAAATGTCCCCAATGTCCCCAATGTCCCATTGTCCTCCCTTTATCCAAATGTTCCCAAATGTCCCCAAATGTCCCCAATGTCCCATTGTCCCCCCTTTATCCAAATGTCCCCAAATGTCCCCAAATGTCCCCAAATATCCGTCAGTGTCCCCCCATCCCCAATGTCCCAAATGTCCCCAATGTCCCATTGTCCCCCCCTTTATCCAAATGTCCCCAAATGTCCCCAAATGTCCCCAAATATCCCTCAGTGTCCCCCCATCCCCAATGTCCCCAAATGTCCCCAAATGTCCCCAAATCCCCCCATGTCCCCGCTGTCCCCTCACCCCCCAGCAGCAGCAGCAGCGTCCCCAGGGCCACCGCCAGTGTCCCCATTGTCACCTCCATGGCGCTGCCACCCCCCCCCCCCGTCCCCAATTTAAGGGCGCGGGGACAGGGACGTCCCCTGGGAGGGGACCGGGGGTGGCCGAGCCCCGGGGCGGGGACAGGGCTGTCCCCAAGGGGGGGGACAAGGGCAGCCGAGTGTCCCCAAGGGTCCCCAGTGTCCCCAACCCCTCCCTGGTGTCCCCAAGGGTCCCCAGTGTCCCCAAGCCCTCCCTGGTGTCCCCAAGGGTCCCCAGTGTCCCCAACCCCTCCCTGGTGTCCCCAACCCCTCCCTGGTGTCCCCAACCGCTCCCTGGTGTCCCCGAGCCCCCCTCAGGTGTCCCCAACGCCTCCAGGTGTCCCCCGCCCCCCGTGGTGGCACCTTGGGGACAATGGGCCATTGTCTGCAGCCACTGCCCTTGACCAGGTGACAAAGCCGGGCTGGCACCGCAATGTCCCCAATGTCCCAAATGTCCCCAATGTCCAAATGTGTCCCCAATGTCCAAATGTGTCCCCAATGTCCCCCATGTCCCCCCAATGTCTCCAATGTCCCCAATGTCCCCAATGTCCCCTCAATGTCCCCAATGTCCCCAATGTCCCCAATGTCCCCAATGTCCCCAATGTCCCCAATGTGTCCCCAATCCCCCCAATGTCCCCAGTGTCCCCAATGTCCCCAAATGTCCCAAATGTCCCCCCAATGTCCCCAATGTCCCCAATGTGTCCCCAATGTCCCCAAGTGTCCCCAAGGTGGGGACAGGCCAGCACTCGTCCCTGTCACTGCCCAGGGTGGCCCCAAAAATGGGAAAAATTGAAATTTTGGGGGGATTTTGGGGGAAATTGGGGGAATTTTGGGAGGATTTTGGTGAAATTTTGGGGGAAATTTGGGGAATTTGGTGGTTTGAGGGGAATTTTGGGGAATTTTGGGAAATTTGGGCATTTTCGGGGTCTCTCAAAGGCTCACGGGAAGGTCACAGAGACTTTTGGGGATGATTGAATCGGATTTATTGGAATTTTGGGGGGATTTTGGGGGTTTTGGGCTCACGGGAAAGACTCAAACACCTTTGGGGATGATTGAATCGTATTTATTGAAATTTTGGGGGAATTTTGGGGGAATTTTGGGGGGATTTTGGGGGATTTTGGGGGATTTTGGGGGTTTTGGCTCACGGGAAGGCCTCGGGGGGCGGCACCGCCATCGCGGCCGAGCTGATGATGAAAACCTTAACGTAGTGCACGGCCTGGGGGGGGGGAGGGGGTCAGAGCCCCCCCGGGACCCCCCAAAATCCGGGAACCCCCCCAGGTGCGTTTTTTACCCCCCCAGTTGAATTTTTCCCACCCAGGTGAGTTTTTTCCCCCCCAGGTGAATTTTTTCCCCCCCAGGTGAGTTTTTACCCCCCCCAGGTGAGTTTTTACCCCCCCAGGTAATTTTTACCCCCCCCCCCAGGTGATTTTTGCCCCCCAGGTGAGTTTTTACCCCCCCAGGTAATTTTTACCCCTCCCCAGGTAATTTTTACCCCCCAGGTGAGTTTTTACCCCTCCCCAGGTGAGTTTTTTCCCCCCCAGGTGAGTTTTTACCCTCCCAGGTGAGATTTTCACCCCTCCCAGGTGAGTTTTTACCCCCCAAATGATTTATTTCCCCCCCCAGGTGCGTTTTTTACCCCCCAGGTGATTTTTACCCCTCCCCAGGTGTGTTTTACCCCCCCCCAGGTGAGTTTTGCCCTTCCCCAGGTGAATTTTACCCCCCCATGTGGTTTTTACCCCCCCCAGGTGAGTTTTTTACCCCCCCAGGTGATTCCCCCCCGTACCGCGCAGAGCCCGGCCAGCAGCAGGAGCACGAGCAGGAGGCAGAGGAGGGCGAGGAAGAGGAGGGGGCAGCCGGGGGGGGGGCGTCTGGGGGGCGCCTGAGGGGGCGGGGCCAAAAAAGGGGCGTGGTCAGAGCGGGACACGCCCACCGGGACACGCCCCATCAAGCCCCGCCTCATGAGCGCAGACCACGCCCCTTCCGGCCCCGCCCCTTCAAGCCCCACCCCCTCACCTGCCCCGCCCCCTCGCGGCGCGTCCTCTGTGACGTCATCGCTGACGTCATCGCCGGCGTCGTGGCGGCGGCTGAAGGGGGCGGAGCCCAGCAGCGGTTTCTCCGCCCCCTGGGCGACGTCATCCGTGACGTCATCGCTGACGTCATCGTCAGGGTCCGGGGGGCAGCCCAAGGGCAGGAAGGGCGTGATGTCATCGTCGGCGGTGACGTCATCGTCGGCAGTGACGTCATCATCGGCGGTGACGTCATCGACGAGGTCGTCCCAGGCGGCGTCGAGGCCCCCGGTGACGTCACCCGCCAGGGAGGAAGTGACGTCATCGGCGGCGGTGACGTCATCAGCGGGGAGGAGCCCCAGGCCGGGGAAGGTGACGTCATCATCGTCGTCCTCGGTGACGTCATCGGCGAGGTCACCCCCGTGGATGACATCATCGAGACGACGCCCGCCAGGGATGACGTCATCGGTGACGTCATCCCCGGGAAGGGGAGGGACACAGCAGACGGCGATGACGTCACCGACGCTGGCACAGTCGATGATGTCATTGCCCGGTGTGACGTCATCGCCCCCAGGGAGCGGCGCTGTGACGTCACCCCAGCTGATGACGTCACAGGGGAAGCCATGCTTGATGATGTCATCAGCGACGTCGGGGGTTATGACGTCACCTGTGGTGATGATGTCATCGGTGACGTCATCCAGGTCCCGCGGGAAGTCGCTCTTGGCTGTGATGTCACCGGTGAGGTCGGGGCCGATGATGACGTCATCAAGGAGGTCACGCCCAGGGGCGACGACGTCACCGATGACGTCACTCCTCGAGGCACTGACGTCATCGGCGACGCCACTCGCGGGGCGGGGGGTGATGACGTCACCACCGGCGATGACGTCACCGGCGGGAACTTCCTCCGGGACAGAGGAAGTGACGTCATCGCCGCCGGTGGCATCAGAGGTGACATCAGAGGTGACGTCATCGGTGATGTCAGCAATGACGTCAGCAGTGACGTCACCGGCGGGCGGAGGGGCGGGGCTGCCCCACCCCTCGGTGACGTCACCGCCCTCCCCAGCAGCGGTGACGTCATAGGCGATGACGTCATCGCCAGGCTCCGCCTCCTCGGGGGGCGGGGCCAGCACCGTGATGGTGACGCCCCCGGCCCGGCAGGTGACGGCCCCGATGTCCCCCGGGGCGGGGACGGCGCTGTCCCCAATGTCCCCAATGTCCCTGTCCCCGTCCCCGATGTCACCCACGGCAGCGACGTCACCGTCCCCAGTGTCCCTGTCCCAAATGTCACCCGGGGTGGTGACGTCACCGTCCACAATGTCCCCATCCCCCCTGTCCCTGTCCCCGATGTCCCCCGGGGAGGTGACAGCACGGTCCCCAAGGTCCTGCAGGGCCAAGGCCGGAGTGTCCCCAATGTCCCCAATGTCCCTGTCCCCGGTGTCCCCATCCCCAGTGTCCCTGTCCCAGGTGTCCCCCGGGGTTGCCACCTCCCTGTCCCCGGTGTCCCCGTCCCCAGTGGCGTCCCTCAGGACAGTGACGATCAGCGTGGGGACAGCCCTGTCCCCAACGTCCCCAATGTCCCCAATGTCCCCAACGTCCCCAATGTCCCCAATGTCCCCAGTGTCCCCAATGTCCCCAGTGTCCCCAATGTCCCCAATGTCCCCAAGTTCCTTGATGTCCCCAGTGTCCCCAAGGTCCCCGATGTCCCTGATGTCCCCGATGTCCCCAGTGTCCCCAAGGCCACCGATGTCCCCAACATCCACAGTGTCCCAAATGTCCCCAATACCTTCAATGTCCCCAACGCCCCCGATGTCCTTGTCACACAGGATGGGGACACTGCCCTGTCCTGCAGCTGTGGTGACCGTGATGTCCCCAATGTCCCCAATGTCCCCTCTGTCCCCAATGTCCCCAACGTCCCCAATGTCCCCCCTGTCCCCAATGTCCCCAACACCCCCAATGTCCCCAATGTCCCCTCTGTCCCCTCTGTCCCCAATGTCCCCACTGTCCCCTCTGTCCCCAATGTCCCCTCTGTCCCCTCTGTCCCCGCTGTCCCACCCATCCTCGCTGTCCCCGCTGTCCTCGGCCGGCGCGGCGGTGACGGTGATGGTGATGCCACCGGCCCAGACGGTGCCACCCCCGGTGCCACCCCCGGTGCCACCCCCGGTGCCACCCCCGCGCTGTCCCCGGGCGGGGCCGGGCTCTGTCACCTCCCCGGGGGGGACACGGGGGGAGGGGCCGCCCTCGGCCATGGGGACACCTGAGGGACAGAGGGGACAGAGGGGACGTCAGTGGGGGAGGGGACACGGGGGGGGACACAGGTGACAAAGGGGTGACACAGGTGACACACAGGTGACACTGAGGTGACACAGGTGACACACAGGTGACATTGAGGTGACACAGAGGTGACACAGGTGACACACAAGTGACACAGGTGACATTGGGGTGACACTGAGGTGACACAGGTGACACTGAGGTGACACAGGTGACACAGGTGACACTGAGGTGACACTGAGGTGACACACAGGTGACATTGAGGTGACACAGGTGACACAGGTGACACACAGGTGACACAGAGGTGACACAGGTGACACACAGGTGACACTGAGGTGACACAGGTGACACACAGGTGACATTCAGGTGACACAGGTGACAAACAGGTGACACAGGTGACACACAGATGACACAGGTGACACACAGGTGACACACAGGTGACATTGGGGTGACACAGGTGACATTGAGGTGACAAAAAGGTGACACGCGGTACCTGTGGTGGCCCCGGTGGCCGATTCGGGGCTCCCGGAGCCCAATTTGGGTTTTTGGGTCTCGGCTGCTCCGGCTCCGAGGGGGCGGGGCCAGAGCGAGGCCACGCCCCTTTAAACCCCGCCCCCCTAAACCCCGCCCCTTTAAACCACGCCCCCTTTAAACCCCGCCCCTCCCCTTAAAGAGGCCGCAGCCTCATTAAGGGCACTTGGAAATTTAATTTAATTTAATTTAATTTAATTTAATTTAATTTAATTTAATTTAATTAATTTTTTTCACGAACAAATTTTAATTAATTTATTTATAAACCCCGATAAATTTTATCTTGTTGCATTTATTGATAAACCCAGATAATTTATTTTAGAAATAAACGTTAATTTATTTACTGATAAACCCAGACCTCTTTCTTCTGTTTAATTAACTTTATTTGATTTATAAATGAATGTTAATTTATTGACTTATAAACCCAAAATAATTTTATTTTTTAACCCTATTTTATTCCATTCAATTCACTTTATTTAATTCATAATTAAGCATTAATTTATTTATTCACAAACCCAAAAAGCATTTTATTTATTTTATTTATTCTATTTATTCTGTTTATTTATTTTATTTGACAAAGCCAGACAATTTCGTTCCGTTCAATTAGCTTTATTTAATTTATAAATTAACACTAATTTATTCATTCACAAGCCCCGCCCCCCCAGATCTGGGGGGGTCCCTGAGGGGTCCCTGGGGGGGTCCCTGAGGGGTCCCGGGGGGGTCCCGGGGGTCTCCGGCCCCTCCCGGCTCTGCTCCGGCGGGGCTCTGGGAGGGGAGGGGTTAATGATTAACCAGGGCAGCGCTAACGAGGCCGCCCCGCCCCCGGCCTAATTAACGGCGCTGATTAATGAACCACCCCCCGGGGCCGTGCAGGCGACGTTCAGGGGACCCCAAAGGGGCACTGGGGGGGGGGGGGCGGGACCCCAAACACCCCCGGGAGCCCCAAAACTTCCTCAGGCCCCCCAAAATTCCCCCTGGGACCCCCAAAACTCCCCCTGGGACCCCCAAAACTCCCCCACGACTCCAAAATGTCACCAAAACCACCCCGGGACCCCCAAAATGTCACCGGGACCCCGAATTCCCCCCTGGGACCCCCAAAATGTCACCGGGAGCCCCAAAATGTCACCGGGACCCCGAGTTCCCGGCCTGGCCCGGCCCCGCCCTCACCTGGGCCCGCAGGTGCACGAAGGTTCCGGAAGGTGCCGCCGCCCCCGCCCAGCCCGGCCCCGGCTCCGCCCCCGGGGGGAGGAACCGCACAGGCCCCGCCCTCGAGAGCGCCTGGAAGGCGGGGCCAAGCGGCTCCAGCCAATCACGATCCGCCTCCGGGCACTGCACCAGCACTGCGGGGTGGGGGGGAAACCACGCCCACAACATGGCTGCCACCATGGCGGCCGCCATCTTGGGGCGGGGAGGGGCATGCTGGGACTTGTAGTCCATTTTTGATCGGCCATATTGGGGCCCCCCCCCAGGCATGCTGGGATTGGTAGTCCCCACCCATGGCCGCCATCTTGGCACTCCCAAAACATGCTGGGACTTGTAGTTCCCTGCTAACGTCCCAAGGCATGCTGGGATTTGTAGTCCGTGTCTGATCAGCCATCTTGGCTCCCCCCAAGGCATGCTGGGATTTGTAGTCCGGCCATTTTAGCTCCCCCCAAGGCATGCTGGGATTTGTAGTCCATGTCTGATCAGCCATTTTAGCTCCCCCCAAAGCCCGCTGGGATTTGTAGTCCCCCCCACCCCCCACCCCCCGGGGCATGCTGGGAGCTCACCTGGGGGGCGGGCGGCCCCCCCCAGCCGGAGGGTCTGGCGCAGCCCCCGCGCGGTCCGGACCAGCTCCAGCATGGCGGCCACCTGCGCCTCCAGCTCGGGGCTGCGCCAGTGGGCCTGGGGGGGGGGCACGGCGGGGTGAGCCCAAAGCCCCCCTAGGAACCCCAAAAACTACCCAAAAACCCCCCTGGAACCCCTGGAACCCCCAAAACCACCCAAAAACCCCCCTGGAACCCCCAAAACCACCCAAAACCCCCTCAGGAACCCCCAAAACCACCCAAAACCCCCCAGGAACCCCAAAAACCACCCAAAAACCCCACAGGAACCCCCAAAACCACCCAAAACCCCCGCAGGAACCCCGAAAACCATCCAAAAACCCCTCAGGAACCCCAAAAACCACCCAAAACCCCCCCTGGAACCCCAAAACCACCCAAAGCCCCCCTGGGAACCCCAAAAACTACCCAAAAACCCCCCAAAATCCACCCAAAGCCCCCCTGGGAACCCCAAAAACCACCCAAAACCCCCCCTGGGAACCCCAACAACCACCCAAAACCCCCCCAAAAACCACCCAAAACCCCTCAGGAATCCCAAAAACCACCCAAAAACCCCCCTCAGGAACCCCAAAAACCACCCAAAACCCCCTCAGGAACCCCATTAAACACCCGGGAACCCCAGAAACCACCCAACCCCCCCCGGGAACCCCAAAAACCACTTGAAACTCCCCCAGGAACCCCAAAAATCACCCAAAACCCACCCCGGAACCCCAGATTCCACCCAAACTCCCCCCGGGAACCCCAAAAAAAACCACCCAAGGACCCCAAAAAAACCACCCAAAGCTCCACCAGGAACCCCCAACCCACCCAGGGAACCCCCAAACCCACCCCAAAGCCTCCCCCCACCTCCCAAAGGCCCCCCCAAATCCACCCCAACAGCCCCCAGTGCCCCCCAAATCCCCCCCAGTGCCCTCCCAGTGCCTCCCAGTGCCTCCCAGTGCCCCCCAAATCCCCCCCAGTGCCCCCCAGTGCCCCCCCAGTGCTCTCCCAGTGCCCCCCAGTGCTCTCCCAGTGCCCCCCAGTGCCCCCCAAATCCCTCCCAGTGCCCCCCAGTGCCCCCCAGTGCCCTCCAAATCCCTCCCAGTGCTCTCCCAGTGCCACCCCAGTGCTCTCCCAGTGCCCTCCCAGTGCCCCCCAGTGCTCCCAGTGCCCCCCAGCTCTCACCAGCCGCCGGGGCTCGGGGAAGGGGGCCAGGCTGATGCTGGGGGGCGCGTGGGGGGCGCGGGGAAGGCGCTGCCACAGCTCCTCGGCCAGGAACGGGGCGAAGGGGGACAGGAGGCGCAGCCCCAGATCGGCCGCGGCCGCCAGAGTGAGCACGGCGCCGGGACGGAGCTGAGGAGAGCGCAGAGAGACCTTGGCCACCTCCTGGGGAGAGATCCAAAAATGGGGGAGAGATCCCAAAAATGGGGGGAAAAGTCCCAAAAATGGGGGCAGAGATCCCGAAATGGGGGCAGAAATCCTGAAATGGGGGAGAGATCCCAAAATGGGGGAAGAAATCCTGAAATGGGGGAGAGATCCTGAAATGGGGGAGAGATCCCGAAATGGGGGAGAAATCCTGAAAATGGGGGCGGAAATCCCAAAATGGGGGCAGAAATCCCGAAATGGGGGCAGAGATCCCGAAATGGGGGCAGAAATCTCGAAATGGGGGCAGAGATCCCGAAATGGGGGCGGAAATCCTGAAAATGGGGGCGGAAATCCTGAAAATGGGGGCAGAAATCCTGAAATGGGGACAGAAATCCTGAAACGGAGATAAGGAGTGGGGGCAGAAATGGCAAAATTGGGACAGAAATCCCAAAATGGGGGCAGAGATCCTGAAATGGGGGAGAGATCCCAAAATGGGGGAGAGATCCAGAAATGGGGGAGAGATCCTGAAATGGGGGGAAAAATCCCGAAGTGGGGACAGAAATCCCGAAACAGGGATAAGGAGTGGGGTTTGGGGGCAGAAATGGCAAAATTGGGACAGAAATCCCGAAATGGGGGCGGAAATCCTGAAATGGGGGCAGAGATCCCGAAACGGGGATAAGGAGTGGGGTTTGGGGGAGAAATCCCAAAACTGGGACAGAAATCCCAAAATGGAGGCAGAGATCCCTAAAATGGGGGCAGAAATGGGGAAATGGGGACAGAAATCCAGAAATGGGGGGAGAAATCCAGAAACGGGGATAAGGAGTGGGCTTTGGGGGGAGAAATCCCAAAATTGGGACAGAAATCCCAAAATGGGGACAGGGCCCATTTTTCAGATTCCCATATTTTGGGATGCCCCATTTTTCAAAATGCCCATTTTTTGGAATACCCATTTTTTTTGGATGCTCATTTTTTAAAGTACCCATATTTTGGGACGCCCATATTTTGGGATGCCCCATTTTTCAGAATGCCCATTTTTTTAAGATTCCCATTTTTCAGATTCCCATTTTTTGGGATGCCCATTTTTCAGAACGCC